CTGTCTCATTGACTATACAAAGGTGTTGTCTGTATGGATCACAATAAAGTATGGCTAAACTTGAGGAAAATTTGAATCCCAGAATACTTGATTGTGCCTATGTGAAAACTATACTTGGACCAAGAAGCAGTCTTTAGAACAGAACAAGGAAACATTGCATGGTTCAAAATCAGGAAAGGAGTGTGTCACGGATGCATCTTGTCCCCATACCTTTTCAATATGTATGCGAAACAGATCATTCGGGAAGTAGGGCTTTATGAGGAGGAATGTGGCATCAAGATTGGAAGAAGATTCATTAACAAGCTACAATATGCAGATGACACAACCTTGCTTGCTGAAACTGAAGAAGACCTGAAACGCTTGCTACATAAGTCAAGGACTGTAGTCTTCAATATGGATTCAATCTCAACATCAAGAAGACAAAGATTCTCACTACTGGGCCATATAGCAGCACCATAATAGATGAAAAAAGAGATTGAAGTTGTTAGCAATTACAACTTGCTTGGCTTCACAATCAACATTATTAACACCAGCAGTCAGGAAATTAAAAGACAAATTGCATTGGGAAATTCTGCTGTCATGGAATTCTCCAGAGTGCTGAAGAGCAAAGGTACTTCTAATCCAGGCCGTGATCTTCTTAATTACTTGTTATGCTTCAGAAAGTTGTACAATTACTACGAATGACAGTAGAATAATAGATGCCTTTGAGTTGTGGTGCTGGAGAAGAGTCTTGAATATACCATGGACTGCCAATAAAACAAGTCAGTCTGTCTTGGAGAGGGTGAAAATAAGTCTCTTGCTGTATGCTAGAATTTTGAAGCTCTGTTTTACTTACTTTAGGCACATAACCAGGAGAGATTGGTCCTTGGAGAAGGACATAATGCTTGGAAGGGTGGATGGACAGCGCAGGAGAGGAAGACCCCAGATGAGTTGGATTAATACAGTAACTGGGCCAATGGGGGTTGGTGTGTCAGAATTAGTGAGACTGGCTCAGGACAGTGAAGGGTTCAGATCTGCTGTACACAGGGTCTCTATGCATCACAGGTGACTCAACGGCACATATCAGCAATAACATACTATGACAGATTTGGAAGCAGGAGTGGCATCCATTTCTTAACCAACCTGCCTCCAGAAACTCTATGAACTTTGATAAATGCTGATAGTTATAGAGGGGCTTCAGGTCTTTTGTTCATAGGATCACTATGAGTCATGCACGACTAGAAGGCAAACAGCAGCAACAACATTTGATACATATATCTTTGTGTGCATATAAGTGCTAGCTAATTCTGTTGATGCATGCACATTTTTACTCTATTGATGTATGAACTGATTGTTCTCAATGTATGAAAAGCAAATTTTAACAGGCTCAGCTTAAAAAAAAAGAGATATTTGGCTCTTAAACCATTTGAGATACTGATTCTGTGAGTTTTCTATATAGCCTATGCCTTAGAATTTCATGAAATGCTTGCTCTGGTGTTAGCCAATATTGTGTTTAGAGGATACACAGATGAATAAGCAATACTACCCTAGAGATGTCAAGACCTACCTCCTTGTGTCCCTACGTGGTCCCTCATTATTAAGCCACTACTGATTGTTTCCAAATCCAATTTATCATGAGACAGGAGGAGAGTATTTTCTGAGGCAAGATCTTTATTTTGTGCTGCTTTTTTCACTGTTTTACAAAAACTCAATTCAGTGGCCTTGGAGAATCATTCATATGTCTTCTAATTGATCTGTTGAGTGTGTGTGTGTGTGTGTGTGTGTGTGTGTGTGTGTGTGTGAATGCATGCCCTTTCAGTTTTAAATTCTGAACTCTGACTTGCTTATTTTTATCCAGGAACAGTTGTATGCATTGAATTTCATGTAAAATGAATAGTCACTGACCCTCTGTTAGTAAAACATGTTTTGTGAAATGTTTTCCCAGAAATGGAGATGCATCTGCATGACTGCTTCCTATTCTCTTAGTGTCTCTTGCTAGCTGCAGCTTGCTTTTTGTATGGGAGCTGTCAGAGGTTAGGACATGAGGCCATGGCCATGGCCCTCATCACAGTTAACTGGCATGCACAGGATGAAGCCGGTAGCATTTGCCTCATTAGCACCATGTCCCCGACTGAGTTAACCAGCCATAGGCAATTGGAGAACTCTGAAGGTTAATTCTTTCTGCCCATAGGTAGAGTTACAGCTCAATGGACTAAGCCTTTCAAATGTTATCGCTCCAACCAGGAAATGTTTAAGTGAGAAAAACAGCTGGTAGTGTAAAAAGGTTAAACAAATTGAAATGAGTGTAAAAACAACTTGTGGTTTTTTTCTCCCCCAAGAGTTGCATAAAATATTCTGTAACTTCTATAAAGTTTACAGCTCAAAACGTGTTTCTATCATGTGATTGCCAGAAACGATTAAAATAATAGCACAAAGAGGACAATTAAATATAGATATTAACAGCTTCAAACAGAAAGAGTAGATGAAATCAAGAAGCCTTCTTCCTCCTCTAAAATAACACCCATGAATTTATCTGAACTTGAAAAGCAGGATTGGGAGAAGACTGCTGAGACTGAAATATAGTTGTTTCTGCTCTCAAGGGAATCTTGTTGTTGTTGTTATGTGCAGTCGAGTTGCCTGCAACTCATAGTGACTCATAGTACAACAGCCCTAAACCCTGCTCTATCCTGTGCCAATCTTATTGTCTCTGAAACACCTATCCCCATTACCCCAGTCACTGGATCAATCCATCTCATCAAGGGTCTTCTTCTCCTGTGCTGTCCCTCAACCCTCCCAAGCATGACATTTCTAAGGACTGGACCCTCCTTGCAACATGTCCAAAATATGTCTGTCGCATGAAGCTTCAGAGTCCTTGCCTCCAAGGAACAGCCTGGTTTCTCCCTCTCAAGGACTAACTTGTTTACTCTCCTAGCAGTCCATAGTGTATTCAGTACTCTTCTTCAGAACTACAGCTCAAAGGCATCAACTCTCCTTCTATCATCCCTACTCATTGTCCAGCTCTCTGATGAGTAGCAAGTAATTGCAAAGACCACGACCTGTATCAGGGACACCTTAGTTTCCGGACTGATATTGTTGCTCTTCAGTACTTTGGAGAGGTCTCTGAGAGCAGACTTTCCCAATACAATTCTTCTTTTAATTTCCTGGCTGCTGGTACCAAGAGTGTTGATTACAGAGCCAAGTAAACTGGAGCTGTCAACAATCTCAATCTCCTCATCATCTACCCTGATGCTGCCAGTCAGCCCAGTGGTGAGAATCTTTGTTTTCTTGATGTTGGGCTTCAATCCATATTGAAGGCTGTAGTCCTTGGACTTACCCCATGTTAATAATATCTTAGAGCAATGTGCCTGCTAAATTTTCTAAAAACCAGTTAGGACCCATGGGCTTTTAGGACATGACCAGGTGATACCATTTATATAGCTTGAGGCAAAGGTACACTAGAAATTAAGACTTAGGTTTTCTGTGACCTCGAGTCACTGTTCGTTTTCATTGCTTCAATGGGAATCCTGCCTTTTTTTCTCCCAACTCCTGTGTCTTGTTGGCCCAGAGCGTTGTGTGAGGATATAAAGCCATCCTTCAGTTAAAAGCAAACAAAAGCTAAACTGAACCCCATTTTTTTGGCTTTCTGTATAAGGTAAGTGAGAAAATGAGTCTTGGAATGAGCCTATCTGTAGAAAAATACTGTGCACTGAGTTGTGTGTTGCTAGAATAAAGTAATGGGGGTCTGTTTGTCTGTGGTAAGGAGTTGCATTTTCAACACAAAGGCGCACAATTCAAATTCACCAGTCACTCTGTGGAAGAAAGATGGCATATAACAATCTTAAATGAAAACAAATAGATCCATAATATTAGGAAATAGTAATATTATTTTTATTAGGGTGTTGGCAAATATTTGAGACTATATTGTTGTTGTTATGTAATGTGGAGTTAGAACCAATTCATAACAGACACTCTAGTGGGTTTCCAGAGGTAGCAAATTGTGTGGGAGGAAATTGATCATCTTTCTTCAGTGGAACAACTGGTGGATTCAAACCCTAAGCCTTCAGTTTGGCAATACATTTCCTTACCAGAGCTCTCTTGAGGCTTTATTTGGGAATTGTTATTGTGTGAATGCATTCTTCCATTGTGATTTGCTGGCTAAAGATAGAATTATAAAGAGGAATTAAAAACAACCATTAAATCAATTGCCACCAAGTTGATTCTAAATCATAGTGACCCTATAGGTGTCAGAGTAAAACTGTGCTTGGTGGGAATTTCAGTGGCTGATTTTTTGGCTTTAGATCACCAGATCTTTTGTTCTGAGGTGTAATTTAATCCTAAACCATTAAGGTTAACTGCACCACCCAGGGATTCCCATTTAAAAGTAAGATTTGTGTTATACTTTACCATGTCTTGTATTTTACTTGGTTACTTGGAAATTTCTACTTATCTTTGCAACAAGTAGTTTTACTATCACAATTCCGTAGACAAAAGACATAGAAGCTAAGAGGCATAAGTAAAATATCCAGAAATGGTAGAGCCAGATTTCTAACTGAGAGGATCTGTTGTTTGCCTCACATATTCATGGTCTTTGCTGATGGTGCAATTTAGAACAATAAGGTAAGTAGCAAATATGGTTAGCTATTGACAGAGAAAGTTACAATATGACACATATTGCTGATTTTGGTTATAAAAGGAATAAAATTTCCTTATACATGATAGTTACATAATAGCATACTCTGAGATATAAACTCTAATGGAGTTGATGATTGCAGGTAATAATGTGTGTTATGTTATAGCTACTCTGATTTCTTCTAAAGTATATATGTGAAATTATGGAGAAATCCTGAAATTATGGTGTCGATGAAGGATTGTCTAAGAGATCCCCTAGAATAACCTATTGAGATCACAAGGCAGTATTGCAAGATTTTTATACTCCTGCCACATAATCAGCCCATAGGGGTGTTTATGAGATGTATCTTCTTGTGTGTAATATTAAACCTTTCATCTATTTTAATTTGCAGAACTTCTTTCAAATAGTTAGTAACCTTCTAGATGAAGAAAACAAGGAAAAATGGGAAGATGCACAACAGGTAAGATTTTAATTATTTTAGACATGAAGTAAAGTTGGATTGGAATTTTTGGTAGAAATTTATTGCAAACTGTCCTAAGAGTATAAAAACCTGTTTTTGGAAATGTTAAACTTTTTAAAATGACCTATTTTATTATATCTGTATGGAATGGATGATATCTATAAAAGGGGGAGGGAGGAACTCTGAAAAGGTTAATAATTTATAAAACTGACTCACATTAGCTATACACTTTCCTAATGGCTTAGTGGTTAAAGCATTCATCTGCTAACCAGAATAACCTAGGATCAAATTCATCAGCCTCTCTACTGGAGATAGATGAAGTGTTCTTGTATTAACTCAGAAACTCTAGACAGTTCTACTCTGTCCTGTGGAGTTAATCGGAGTCAGAATTGACTTGATGGTTTTCATTATAGTTTTTCGCTTTAACCATGTGTCTCTCCCATTTTCCCTTTTAATTCTGGTCTGGGCCTTTAAGGCCTTCATCCGTCAGCTCCACTCCTGTCTATATGCCATAGGGAAGAAAACAAATTTAAAATCACCTAGTCTGAAATCAAACTGAAGAGAGTTGCCTAGCAAAGTCATTTGCATGTACTAAAATACTATAGTCTTGCTTACTCAATACTTTTGCACTGCAATCTACTCAAAGCTGACCCTTCAGCAAATTTCTGTGGCTGTAAATCACACACAAGGGAGAATGCCAATTCTTCTCTCAGGGAGCAAGTGGTAGATTTGAACAACCAGAGCAGAACAGCCTTTGAGTTAGCATTCCTCCTCTCTATGGACTACACCACCAGAGCAATAATAGGTACATGTGGGTACACTCTTTTAAAACTTAAGTATACTTTTAAAAAAAATCCAAACCCCAGAGTTGCTAGAAAAGCTTTTTTTAAAAAGCTCTCAATAAAAAGTATACTATTTTTTTTCTCTTTGAAAACCCTATGTACAATAGAGCACACTTAGACTAGCAGGTATGGCAACTAAGACTGAGCCCTCAAGTATGGAAATGCAAAGGAGAAGGAACAGTAACATGGAATGTGGTTGATTCAGTGACTGGGGTAATGGGGATAGATGTGTCAGAGACAATGAGATTGGCACAGGATAGAGCAGGGTTTAGGGCTGTTGTTCATAGGGTCGCTATGAGTCACAGGAGACCCAACAGCACATAATAACAACAACTTGACTTGGTGTAGGGAAGTCTGGTGGCCTACTGGGACCACAAAGATGTATGGAGTGCAAATCCAGCAGCTGCTCTGTAGGAGAAAGGTGGACAGTCTCCTCCCAGAGGATCATGTGCCTCTGAAAAACCTGCTGGTCAGCTAGGGGTCAATTTTGACTGAGCAGTACACAATAACAACGTGACAATGCAACTAATGGTCTTATTCAACATTGTTGGTTTTTAAAAAATATTTTTATTATTATTCATTTCAATGAACATTTACAGAGACTTTGGATTTCCTTTCATTCATTGTTGCACTTTTCTCCCCACCCATCTCCACTACCCCCAGTTCACTCTTTGCTTTGAAAAGTAAAAGTCAACATTGTTTTAAAATCTCTTGTATTACTAGGCTGCAATAACTGACATATGTCTAGTGACACCTTTTTCAATTTTAAAAATTGTATTATAAATAAAGAATGGAAAAATAGATCTTAAAAATCCAGTGGATGTTTAATGCGACTGAATACATCAACTTCTTTGTTTTTGGTGTGGTTTTGTTAAAAACTCCATGAGAGACCTGCTGTCTTGAAAGAATGAATATTTACTGAGGCTCAGGTGAACCACCTCTCATTTTCCCTTCTTGATTCTGTTCTAGGCCTTTATGAGTAAGATACCCTCTTCATTTCCATCACATTCTAAAAATAGTCCAGTGAGGGGCCACCTCATTACCAATTATTGTTTTTGTGCTTTTCACCATAACAACAATAAAATCACCCAGTAGCTTGAGATCCTGAATCTGTCTTTTAGTAGAACTATTTTTAATCATCCATTTGTCCTTGGCATTCTTCTCTAAGAGAATCTCATTCACTCACTGTAAGAAAATGCTGTCTTTCCATAGACTACAGCTGCAGAAGCAAAATACATCTTTCTAGAATGCTGGAGACCATTAATTATGGATATATTTAGAACAAATATACAACACTATTTAAAACAGGATTACAATTCATCAGATGTTATTATTTATTCTGAGGTCTTACTTGAACAAATAATGAATGGTGGCACAACTTCTCATGGTTAATGGAAATCCTCAATCCAATCTACTTGCTCATGACTTTGAGTAAGCTTATCTCTTGCATACTTTTCCAGCAGTAATAATCCTTAATGCTATCATTTTTTAAAACTATTTGAAGTGCAAAAGGAAAAGAAACCCACTTTATAGGTTTTACTAATAGGAATTTGAGTTTGTGACTCAGAATGTCATGAACCTTCTAGAAATGAGGTCATTTATGATCTATTTCCTTCTGATAATCCATTGTGGGTTCCATTATCTTATTTTAGAGGAGGAGTATGAACAAAATAAAATATAAAACAGGTCTGTGTGTATTTGAAAATGTCAGCAACATGGTGAATATCGATATCAGAAAGTTTTACAAACAAAAATTTATTTTTGAACAATAGCCACTTCTGTACTTAGTACTGAGCTATCTTTTCTGAGCATGAATTATTTAACTATATTTAGATAATTGTAATTGTAATGTACCACTGAGTCAGGACTCACTCGTACCTGACCATCCAGTGGATTTTCAGAAACATTTAATCACATGAGAAGAAATTGCTCCTATGGAACAACTGGTGGATTCAAACAACCTGCCTTCAGGTAGACAGTGTAGTTTCTAACTAGTAGGCCACCAGAGCATCTTATTAAATATATTGTATGTGAACATGAAGAATAAGATAACCCTATGTAATAATCTTTGTCACCACATGGACTTGACAAACCATTAGCTATTTCAGGATATGATTCTATGTTCTCTATTTATTGCTAGACTGAAAACTTGTGTGGTTCTAGAGCAGGAGTTGGGAACTCTGGTGGCCTACTGGGTAAGAAATTGCATTTTCAACCCAAAGCCAGTTGGTTTAAATCTACCAGTTTCTCTGTGAGAGAAAGAAGGGCAAGCTCCTCTTGTGAGATTTATAGTCTCTGAAAGCTAACGGAGGGTCATTTAGGAGTTAGTTCTGATTTCATGGCCCATAACAACAGCATAGGAGAAAAAAAAAATCTCCAGAGATAGAGGTGGTTAAATATTTGGTTCCTTGCTGAAAGGTCAACAGTTGAGACCCATCAGCCATTTTGCAAAAGATGAGCCATCCTGTCCTGTAAAGATTTACATCCTTGGGGGTCTTAAGGATGGTTTCTACTCTGTCAGAAGAGTCAGAATCAGCTTCAAAACAACAGAGTTAGCCAAGTGCGGCCAGTAAACCAAAATCAGTCTTACTTGTAAATGAGGTTTTGAAACTTCGCCATACCCATTTATTTACATTATGTCTGTAGTTCCAGCAAGCAGAATTGTTTAATGAGGCCTAGTGGCACAGAATGTAATGTATCTGACTGCTAGCTGAAAGGTCTCCAGTTTGAATTCATGAAGTTCTCAGAGGGAGAAAAGTGGATAGTCTCTTCTTCTCATAATGATTTACAGCCTTAGCGACAACATGGAGAATCTCTATGAGTTGGTACTAATTCAATGAAAACGGGTTTTATTTTTCTACAGAGACAACTTGACCCTAAAGGCAAAAATAACTTACTGTATGATCTTTGACAGAAAAAAGTGTGCCAGATTTTGTTCCAGAACATTTGTTTACTTATATTTACATACATATAAGACTCAAACAAGATACTTTTATGTGAATTCCAACTCAGGACAACCCAGAATGCTTTAGAGTAGAACTATGCACCCTAGGGACTTCTGGAAAAGTCCCTTCATCATGCAAACAATTTGTACTTGACCTCTGACCTAAAATCTGGTGGTGTGAACCCACGCATAGCAACTCAAAAGAAAGATGTGATTACTGCTTCCATAAAGACTACAGTCATCAAAACCTACAGAGCATGTAACCCATTACCTATAACCCATGGAATCACATGAGTTGAACTGACTCAAGGTCAACTTTTTTTGTTAGAATTACTTGGAAATAGATTGGCTGACTCTTCTTATGAAGCACCTTTTTTTGAACCACCAAACTCTCAGTTAGTTTCCAGGTCCTTAATCATTTGTGCCACTAAAAAGGCTCTTCGACTACACATAAACCTACAAGACCACAAAGAAAGGAAAATGAAACCTACAATAGTCTCAAGAAGTGTAGAGTCCATTGAGATTTTGCATACATAGTTAGAACGGGGATGATGGACTTTTAGAATTTCTATTTAATGACTGGAAATACAGGTAAGAAAGGATTTCTTAATCAAGATTCTTCTGAAATGAAAAAAAAAAATCTCTATAATCTATATCTATCTATCTCTATCTATTTCTATATCTGTATCTATATCATCTATATCCATATCATCTATATCTATCTATCTATCTATCTATCTATCTATCTATCTATCTATCCATCTATCCATGACCCTGGATGAGATGGATTAACTCAGTGACTGGGATTATGAAAGTGGTGTGTTTTAGACAATGATGTTGGCTCAGAGTAAAGCAGGGTTCAGAGCTCTTTGTACATAGGGTCACTCTATATCTCAAGTGACTCCATTGCACTTAACAACAACAAATGCCATAAAATTTTAAGTATAGAAAAATACAAAGCAAACACACTACTTTTGTGTCTGTTCCAACACGTGAAGCTACTCTATCAGGTTTCCAAGGCTGTACATCTTTACTGAAGGAGTCTATAAACCTTTCTGCTATGAAATTACTCTAATGGATCTAAACCGTCAAGCTTTGGGCTAGCAGCCCAACTCGTTGTGCACTATGCCACCAGAGATCCTGGTTTTAAGTATACGATTGGTAGCCTAGTGGTAAGAAGTTGTGCTACAAAGCCAAAGGCACATTTTTCTAACTCACCAGCTGCTCTGTGGGAGAAGGATGAACAATGTCCTCCCATTCCATTAACTGCTTCTGAAAACCTACCCACCGGAGGGTCAGCTATGGGTTGGTTCTGACTCCATGGTACATAACAACAAATAAAATTGTTGTTATGTGTCATTGAGTAAGAATCAACTCATAACTGAACCACCAGTGAGTTATCAGAAGCTGTAAAATTCTACCAGAGAAAATGTCCCATCTTTCTCCTACATAGCAACTAGTGGGTGAGAACTACATGCCTTTGTGTTAGCAGCAAAACCAACCTTTTACCTTCCCGCTAACCATGCCCACATGTCTTCAAATATACATGAGAACAGAAATGTGGTGGGTATTTGGTGTCTTATTTTAGATAAACATAGCCACAAACTATAATACCCACACTTAACTTGTCTTCTGCCTATTCATTCCCTTGCCAACTTTTATCGACATTCCTGCTAATTGGTGTTTCTTTTCATCTTCAATAGCCTTTGCGAATGCAAAGTACTTCGAACCCTCTAATCCATTCCGTTTTTCATGGCTTGAAGCTAGAATGGTGCCAGGTCGCTAAAAGGAAGTGATCCTAATTTCAAAAGTTTTTCTGTTCTAGGGTTCTCATATAATGCAGGCTGACTTTAGTAGCTTTATAATACATGCAAAAATTCTTATAGCCTTTTAAACAACTTTCACATACCCTATACTTTAATCTATTGTCAGAATCAGGTTATCTTTAAGAAAACATTCACCCACTTATAGTGAAAGAGGTGATATGGTGTTGAGACTGAAGGCAGAAAGCCTGCAGGTATAGATAGATATACACATAGGTATAGACAGATCTATGGGTAGATCCTGCCTCAACGACTAGCTAAGACACAATATATCCTTTAGTATATTGCTTAACATTTTTAAGCTTCTACTTCTTTCCTAAAATTAAATTCTTTTCAATTCCATACATGTTTTATATATATACATATAAAGTATCTATACCAGAGCTATAGATAATACACTGTTAGTATTGTGATTTCTACAAGCAATTATATTTAAGCAATGATTATTTCTCCCTAGTAAATGTTAAGTTTGTATTTCATGATTGAGAGATATATTTTACCATTGACATAGGTGTGAAATATAAAGAACAACGTTTACAGTGTTTTGTGTTAGGTGGAACAGTCTGTAGGGAATTGTGTTGCTAATGTATAGGCATTGATTCTCTGATGGTTCGAATCCACCAGTGGCTTCATTAAATAAATACAAGCAATCTCTTCTAGTGAGATTTGTTGCTGTGTGTTATTGAGTTGGAAATGACTCATAGCTGACCCTCTAGCAGGTTTTCAGGGGCAGTAAATCACATGGGAGGAGATTGCCCATCCTTCTCCCACAGAAAAGTAAGTCTATGTTTTGTTTTTCCTCTGATTAGAGAAGTCTTTTATATATTTTAAGTTTTCTCAGATTTACAGAGGAGTAGTCACTGAGTTATATTGAATTCAGAGTTCTTGGTGTGTGATACCTGATATCTTTCTCAACTATTAATTCAAAAATTACCAGCTAGTGCAAGAGGCAGAAACCTCTTAAAATAAATCAAAACTTATTGTGACCAGATAGAAAGTCTTCTAATTTGTGTTTTATGTTTTATTATAAAAATATTTTATCCCATCTAACCTTTACTTATTTTGTAGATTTATCCAGGCTCAATAGAGTTAATGCAGGTGATTGAAGATTTTATACACATTGTTGGAATGGGGATGATGGACTTTCAGAATTCATACCTAATGACTGGAAATGTAGGTAAGAAATAGGATTATTTTTTATCAAAATCTTTCTGAAATAATAAAAAAATGCAGGTATCTATGTTGTTCATTTTTAACTGTAATGTGCATTGTTCACATCTTCAAGTATATGGGAGTAAATGTATCAAAACTACTCAATATCTTATTTTTTAGGTAGATTCAGCCACATGTACAGTATACACACACATATCTGCCAATAAATATCCATATGTGTATGCAATCTACATACATTTGAATGTCTGCATATAGTTTATGTCTGTGTATCTACAAATTTGAATATAAGGGAGAGTAAGTGTTTCCCATTTACCAGCTGTTTGTTGCTATGTAAGCTCATTTTGTGTACAAAAAGTTACAAAGAAATGAGTGAGTTGAAAAGAAATGAGTCTTTATTACCTTCCATTTATTGTTCATAAAGATGCTGAGTTCCTTCTCGCTTGGTGTCTTAAGCAGTAGCTGAATCTGTGTGTTGTAGTTCCTTTAGAGGTGGTGGCAATGGCCCCACTGCTTCCATTGAAATTTTCCTGCAAGCTTCACATACACAGTGACTCTTTCAGGGTCCCTTGTAGTGGCATCTGTAAAGCCAGAATATAGAAAATGAAAATATGTGTCTACCCTTGCCTGCCTTTAACACTGCATTCTACAGTAAGGGAGAATTATAAAAAGAAATTAAGCCTCCACTGCTTACGTTTACACTCCACAGTTATATTGCACTAAAACCCTCTTATATCAGTGGAATGGAACATTACTCCGAAGTAAAAATTTCAAAAACAAAGAAATAGTCTTCTTAAATACTATACATTTAACTGAGATAGGTTTACGGAGATTTAAAAAAAAACATCTTTAAAGCTTTCTTTCATAATGTTACTGTGACTCAGAAATATTTGTTTTCATTTCACTTCTCTTGCTATAGTGGTTTTTGTATAAAGACCACTGAATATAGATATATACCTTAAAGCCATACCAACTTAAACTGCCTTATAGCTGTCCCTCCAGCATGCATGTTCTCAGAGGCTATCAGTCATACAGGAGTAGCTAATGGATTTGAACTATGTGCCTTTGGGTTGACAGTGCAACTCTTTACCCATTAGACCACCAGAGCTCCTTTAAATATAGATAGTAAGATATTTAAATAAATATATCTTGCCTTTTATTCTTATCTACAGGGTACTAAAGTTTTGGTTCCTAGATCACAAATACACCTACCTTCATAAGGAATCAACTAGAAAGGATCAACTGACAGGAACCAAAACCCCAAACTCAATACCATCCAGGCAATTCTCATTCATAGCAACCCTGTAGGATGGAGTAGACTTGCTCTAGGATTATGGGTCCTGTAAATCAGCAACTGATTTCTTCTTTCTCCTGTGGATGACTTGTGCATTTGAATCACTAAGCTTTTGGTTAGGAAACCAATGCTTAATTCATTGTTCCACCAGAGCTCCTTTCAACTGGTGTAGAGCATAGCTACTATTTTTCAATGGCTTTTAAAGGTTTTTGGTAATTTATTTTTTATTTGGTTACTTTTAATGGTCTTTCAATTTTGTAGATATTCATTTGTTTATAGGGCATCTTCTACTACGGTAATCTCAGATTGTAATGTAAACTAACTACCAATAATAATATTCCTCAGTTAAGGAAAAAAGACTAGAAGGAGTTATAAGAAATCTAGAAGCTTTTTGGTGCCCCTCTAAGGGGGCTCTGATGGTGTAGTTCATAGTAAGTTGTTATCATGTTAACCTAAAGAGTTTGCATCTGCAACAGTCTATCCACCACCAACTCCTCAGGAGAAAGAAAAGTAGGCCCTGTCCTCCTCTAGTGATTTACAATCTCAAAAACCCAGTGGAGAGCTGCTATGAGGCAGTGTGTTTGAGAGTTTAGTTGAATATACCCGCTCCATGTAGCTCAAGGCCAAACTAATCAGACTGATGTCTCATACTCTCTGAACTATCTTCAGGTCTCATCTTTTTCCAATACTGTGTGTTCTTCAGCTGGGTAACTTCAGGAATGGACTTAGCAACTCCTATCTGAAGGCAGTGATGAAATACAAGACCAGAGAGATTATCTTTGTTGAAGGATAAACTAAGAAAACAGAGAAAAATCTAAATGAAATGTGTATTCTAAGAGTGACTGGGCAATAAAGGAAAATGATCTCTGAGAAAAAGATTAACAGTGAGCCATGAATTTTAGGGAACATGGAAGGAAGAACCCAGAGGGATTTAGGTGATGCTGATCAGTGGAGTCAAAATGTCTTTCACAAGCTATGTTTCTTTTGTGGAAGGAAAAGCAATCATGAAGGACACTGTGTCAGATTAGACAAGGGGAAAACTGACTAGTAAAATTGGAGGAGCCAAGTAAAAGTGCTACTGGGTTTTTTTGTTTTTCTTCTTTCATATATGTTAACACCTAAGTATATAAGACAAAGCTATTTAAAAATATTATCAGATCAAAATATGTTTGAGTGGGGAAAAAAACCCACCTTTAAACCTACAAAATTGAAAGCTAATCTTCGAATATAGTAAATTCAAGCTTGTATCTAAAGCAGATTACATCGGGGGAAAATAGTTTTTGCTGTTAAAATTCTATTAAGTATTTCTTCTCCTCTTCTTCCCTCTTAACTCTTCTTTAGCTTTTTAAGATTACACCATAATTATCTTTCTGTGGCTATAAATATTTCTTCAAAACTTGTTAATGTCCATTATTTTCTACCTTTTAACATTCTATAGTTAAACATTTTAATATTTTGCTGTCAAGGGGTTTATACGAGGGGTTTTTGCTTCCTATGTTATTAAACACTAAGATATTATAGGATATTATGATTATCATAAAAGTCTGGAATGAAGGTTGTAGAGTGGAGTATACTTTGGGTGGGGGTGGGGGGTGGGTACGGGGCTATTGTATATCAGTGAAGGAATTTTTCTTTTACTTTTCAAAGAGAAGAACAAACTGGGTGGGGCGAGGAGAAAAATGCAACAATGAATGAATGGAAATCCAAAATCTGTGTAAATTTCATTAAAATTAATAACAAAAAAACCCCCAGTATTCATAGAAACTTAAAGCAATTTAGTTCTGCAAGCAAAACAAATCTTAATCTGTATTATCCAGGTGTTGTACAGGGACAATGTGATTTTCATCCTCTCATTGTTTATATTATACATATAATTATCCATATAAAAGGGGTTATGCACTAATTATTCATATAAAAGGGATTAGGCTCAGTAAATACAAATTTTGAATGTCTCAAAGAGATCTTAAATATTATTCCTTTCTATAATGATATCTCAAGGAATAACATATACTAGTTTGAGGACCAAAGCAAAGCTTGTTTTCCATAATATTAACTCTTGGTGGTCTCATATGTGTTGGAAAATCATGCCTTCCCAATTTTTTTTAAAGTAAATCACCAGACATTTTTTTTAAGAATCTTTGGGTGCAATTGAACCACCATTCTTTTGATTAGGAGTAAACATTTTAACTAATCAGGTTCTTGATCAGTGCATAGAACATGACATGGTTTGATTGATATTTTCAATGTTTTCCAGTAAAGATATGTATAAAGAATATTATATGGTAGCAAATTGAGAAACTTACAAGTTGAAATTCATTAACCATACATAATAACATTCTAACAAAGATATTTATTATCCAACATTGATGTCGTGTGTGTGTGTGTGTGTGTGTGTGTGTGTGTGTGTGTGTTGCATGAGAGAGAGATAAAGAGAGATAGAATGTGCAAAGTTCAAAAATATCAGGTCACTGTCATCCAGTTTATAAGAGAGAATATTCAAAAATTATTATCATAGTTACTACCAGTTGCTAATCAAGGTCAAAGACTATTAGAGCCAAGAAAAATTATTAGGATTGCTAATGGGATAGCATGAAATTCTCTAGGGAAATATAGACAGAAGGGTGCATGATCTAGATGTTAGAACTTTTAAAGTTGTTTCAAACATTCACACAGTTAACATTTTGATATAGTACCTCCAGAGATTTAATATGCACAGAAGGATATGCTACACCCACTTATTGCTATTTTACAGCTGTTCTTTAAGAAATATTAAAAGTTGACAGTATTGGAGGGGAAAAGTGAATGCTGTTAGGCTCATGGTATTTCTAAATACAGAAACTTATAGTTAATACCTAAAGGGAATTTTCAAAGTAACTCCTATGTGTAAGCTCCATGAGGATGCAAGACTCTCTGAGGTATAATTTTCGTTCTTCCACAGTAATCTAATAATACTAATGCTTTGGACATGTTAGACCTAAGATATTTTATTTTGACAAACTATATATATAATCTCCTGCCTAATCTTAAATTAGACATAAGAAATACGGGGGAGGGGTGGTTCAGAATTAACCTTTGTGTTTTCTATTTTCTGAAATGGAATTTAAATTCCATTAATTAATTCTTGTGTTTCTCCACAATGCCTCCTCATCAACATTAAATCTATGCCATTTGTTACACCACTGGTAAAACTTGATCATGTCCTTGGTAGAATATCTTGTTCTTCATCTGAGAAGTCAGCATTCAATCTGATGAGGTAAATAAAAAAATAGAATGCTTCTCTTTCTAGGCTTATTTCCCTTTTAGTTACTATTTAGTTTTGCAGTTCATACTTGTTCAACTTCTTTTCTTTAAAAATAAGACACTTGTAGTCATTTGACACTAAGCCTGAAAGCTCCACACTTTAACAAATTTTCTGTTTACTTACAACATCTGACGTCTGTTCAGCCAGCTAGACTTGGGGTTGAAAGTGTCAAGCTCTATCTCCGCTTCCTGGCTTTTTATCTCCCCTGCTAGACATTTTAAGCAAACTGTGGTTTTTCTGTAGGTCAGGAAAAAAAGAAACTAAAAATACCAAAAGTTGTTAACATACTAGTTCCTTTGAGAAAGGTAAATAATTATACAAGTTTTAAACGCTGATTTAGAAAGATTTGCAACATGATGTCTTAGTTTCCTACAGCTCACATGTATCAAAACGCTACTTAGCTGTGTCTTTA